TTCCTCGACATTTTGTCGCCACGTTTCAAAGAGCTGGAAAGTAAATAAACAGCAGACAGAAATAAGGGCAGATCGAATTGTCTTATGTTTCACGCATGCGCAGGACAGGAACGTTTCAGCGTGGATGAACAAGTGTTCGGAAACTATTGGAAACTATAGTATGGATGCGGAGCGTTTTTAGATGAAAACACTGTTTTCAAATTTGGTGTAGACGTAGCCTCTGTCTGTGTGTTAGCCCTGTGACAGAGTGGCGACCTGTCCAGGGCCAACCCTGCCTCTCGCCCTAAGACAGCTGGGATAGGCTCCAGCTGCCCCCTGCGACCCTCAAAGGGATGATCCAAGGAATGGGTGGATGGAAAAGTTCTTTCTTCCCACCTACCACCAACTGTTTGCTCTTTGGTAATCATCTGATTTTTAGGGCCTAATACTGTAGGGTCCTTAACTGACAGTACAAAGCACCCAGAGGTGACTGTTATTGTGATTTGGTGATATATAAATAAAATGAAATTGATATTTGATGCCAAATTTGATACCATGATGTTACCATGATATTATGAAACAACGATTTTTCAGTATGCTATAATATACAGTCTCTAATCCTGGTATCTGTGTATGTGAATAAGTTAACTCTGAAGAGACAAAAACAGGAATTCTACACATGCCAGAGTTTTGTTTTTCGAAGACTTCAAAGGCTTTTAAATGGATAATCTTTTACATGTTTCTATGACATAGTGAAGAATGTATAATCCGATTGTTAAGTGATGACGTGACGAATCCTACTTCCGGGTCTAAAGTAGTCTGCGTTTAATATGGCTTTTGTGTTGTTAACATGTTTAATGTTTTGTATTTTCTTCTATTTAATCTCAAAAAGCTCCTAAAACAGTCAGTGATCACTGTTGACCTCCCTCGGCTTTTATTACCACTAATCATTTATTTAAGCTCAGTTTTTAAAACCTTAGGATGTAACTACAGCCCAGCCCATGCAGCAGTATATGAATGACTAACCTCGTATTGTGGATGGATTATCTCAGTTGTTCTCCTGGCTGAAGTTTGGTCCTTTTACAGCATCCTGCCATGCGATTACATTTGTTCCTGACCACCGAGAACACTCACGTTAACTTTTATCGAGTGGAAAAAAGTAGCTTGTTTATATTATGCTAACATAGCTGTGTCGCTAGCGGTCACGTAGCACATCATTATATACCAGCTAGCCAAACTTCAGTAACCCTACAAACGTCACTGCTATTTAGTTTTCTGTCTTCATTTATGTTGGAAGTGATAACAGAGCTGTACGTTTTAATTTGTTTCCAAAACCCCGCAGTCAGGACATGCTATATTGTATTTAGATAGAAGCTAGCGAGCTAACTCCCTGCTAACTTCTAACTTCATTAAATGTCATAAATTCCGTTTTCATGGATGCCTGGACGTTAAACTCAATTGTTACACCTGGTAGAGCAGAACGCTGATCATTTTATTAAAGATGAAAGACTTTAGACAGTTTTTCAACTCTCAGTAATGCCATAGTGATCGTTTGATATATGGACCTGCAGCGGACTTTAGGTCCAGACACAGCTAGTGACGTCAGACTGAACAACCGGATAGGAATGTAACCATGTGTGTGTGTGTGTGAGCGTGTGTGTGTGAGCGTGTGTGTGTGAGCGTGTCTGTGTGTTACAGGACACTGTTATTCCTGCAGGGTGTAGTTGCTGACTCTGACAAAACCAAATCCTAGTCTGTGTCAGTGACTGGCAGAGAGATGGGGCAGCTGTCTTCACACAGCTCGGCAGCAGGATAAGAGTAGTGATCAAAGAGAGGCTAGTGGAGAATATATTAAAATAAAGGGGGTGGGGGAGGGGGGTGTCTTAGGGCACGGAGGGGGTGGAGTTGAGTAGACTGGAGAGCGAGCGAGGTAGGGGTAGTGTGACAAATAAGGCTGTGAAGGAGTGGACGTGTGGAAAACGAGGCATGCTGCTTGTGCTCGGGGGATTGCCTGCAGCCAGATACAGTATGTGCACAAGTCTCAGTGCAGACACAAGTTTTAATGACCAAAACTCAACTTCAGGACAGAAAACATTCATAGACAACAATGTGTTCTTATCTATACATGAAGAGGATGCCGTTCATAGGTGCAGATTGCAGTACTTGCTTAGGACACTTTGTCAGTGTACAGGTTGAAATGTACAGGTTGAAGTGCCTGAACTCAAAAATTAACACCTCGACTCAAAACCAACTGATAATAATTTTGTGAAACAGTTTTTCTGACTGTAGTTCTTGTGAGAGTAGGGAACAGCTGGAAGACAGCGGCTGCTGTAGGACAAAGATGCTTTAGTTTGTCAAGAGAGAGCCATGAAAACCACTACAACGGGTGTATTTCTACTACTGTTTGGACTGGATCTGATCCTGAGTTTTTCTCCTGGGGCGGATCCAGTCGAAGGTAGGTCCATTTTTAACTCAAATGCTAATAATGAGTGAGAAGCGTCCACCTTGATTTACCTTGGAAGAGGCTGTAAAAGTTTGTGAAAGGGCTCCGATACAGGTCAGGGAGTCAGAGATGTTCACTCCTGTGTACAGTGACGTCTGTACTGAGATGATGTTGGTAAGTGCTGCTGTTAGCCGCTGTTTGCCGCTGTTAGTCGCTATTAGCCGCTATTAGCCTCTGTTAGCTGCTGTTAGCCTCTGTTAGTGAAACTGCCTTTGAAATCGATGCAACTTTGTTGGACTGTTTAGTGAATAAACTCATATAATGTGTAATCAAACTGTCTATCAGAGGTAAAGCGAGATTTTTAGGACACTTGCACCTAACTAACATTAGCCTATAATCAGCTGTTGCTGTTGTTTAGCCAGCTTGTTGTCAGCTGTCTAGCGATGGATGGACTGTGTGTCTAATCTACTGACAGTTATCGTAGATTAGTCAAGCAGTATTGCAGGTTGTGGCAATACTGGTAATAAATGAGCATGTTTATGAGATGAGGATGACATTTTATTGTCAGTGGTGTTGTCTCTGTTCTTCACACATTCATTTCTCTCATGAGGGGGAGCCCTTGATAAAACATAGGTACAATCCTTCACATCTTAAGTCGGGAGGTGCAGGTATGAATTTTATGGCCCTCTGGAGCACATACATACCTACAGGTTCTCTTCTCCTCCACTGGTGTCTAGCCACATACATTAGATGCCAGGAGTGGGAAGGGAGGTCTCCCTCCTGGGCACTATATTAAAATATAGTGGGGGCACATGGCAGCTTCCACAAACCTGCTCCTGTTAATCAATAATAAGTTTATGAGAATGCATTAGTTTGTTGGAATATGTATTTACACACTATTTTATTTGTTTATTGTTTATTCATAAGCACAGTATCCTTCTCTCGATAGCCAAAAATCTACTGACTGACTGCTGCATACAATGCATTTTTTTAACGTTACATTTATCATCATGAATCAGAAAACGAATGAATCGAGTGCAAGTTTATATGATGAGGCAGAGTGTGTTGTTACAGTGGCTCCAAAACCCAAACAGTCCGCCGTGTTCCCATAACATCCTCTGGTCTTTGTCAAGGATGTTTTTATCCTGCTCAATAATGGATGAACCTGAGCCACAGAGGGGGAGAGCGATCCTCCTCTGGAGCAACGCTGCAGCACTAATGCTTCGGAGTACTCTCAGGCCTGGCCCTCCTCTGTAAAAAGCTGTGTACTTTGATCTAAAACTAAAGGAATTTATTTTGATAATCTCTTTCAAAGTATCGTAATAAACACCATTTTTCATTCTTCATTTCTTGGTGTTTTCCCCTCATTTATTCATGTGGAGGGAAAGGATATAATTAGTTACATTTCAGTTCACAAATGCAAAGCACTTGTGAAAAAACCGAGGCTTTAAGTCCCGTCTTCTTTTAGAAGCCTACAGATTGACCCTACACTGATCAGGCTTAACATCATGACTGCTGACAGTTGGTGACATGATGCCTGTTAGTTGGTGGGATATATCAGGGGGGAAGTGAACATTTTGTCCTCAAAGTTGACAAGTTAGAAGCAGGAACACGTATATACTATATATATAATGTTCTTCCTCTACCCCCCCATTTTTGCACATGTCGAGGGGCGTGTCAGGTTACATTTCACTGTGTGTTATACTTGTATAACTATGCATGTGACAAATCAAGAACCTTGAACCTTGAACCTTGTAATAATTGGCAAGCTTCAGGATTTGAGGGAGTTTGACAAGAGCTGAATTGTGATAGCTAGATGACCTGGTCAGAGGATCTCCAAATCAGGCAGTGTGATGCTTTGGTCAATGTTCTGCTGGGAAGCCTGGGGTCCTGCCACTGATGTGGATGTTACTATGACACGTACCACCTACCTAAGCATTGCAGACCATGTACACCCTTTCATGGAAACAATATTGCCTTATGGATGTGGCCTCTTTCAACAAAGCAAAAAGGGTTCAGGAAGGGTTTGAGGAGCACAACAATGAGCTTGAGGTGTTGAGTTGTCTTCCAAATTCTCCAGTGCTGGAAAAACAAGTCCAATCCATGGAGGCCCCACCTTGCAACTTACAGGACAAGACAATCTTTCACTAAACTCTTGTTACCAGACACCACAGCACACCTTCAGGGGTCTGAAGGAATCGTTTTTTGTTTGTTAAGCCACTTAGAAATAATCTATGAATTATTCAAGTAAAACTACATCAATTTCCTTAGAAAAAAAATAATAATATGGGAAAACTGGATATTAGAGTTAATTTCCCTAAGAAACAGGAACAAATTCTTACACCTGAATTAGAATTAGATTTTGCTTCAAATCATCAGTATATATGGAGGAAGTCAGGACTGAGGTACAGCAGTGAGTGCTACAGCCATCTGTGAAACATGGTGGAGGTTCTGTCACGGTGCTCGTTGAAATCAATGAAAGTTTGAACAAACACCGTGTAAAACCATCAGGAGCATCTGATCCAGACCAAAGGAACATAAATGTTGCTAACCAGATGAAGCCACACATGTTCAAAACACCATTTTAATGCACTTTATTTTTGTGTTTGACTTTTTTAAAGAGAATATTAACACACTGAAAAAGCATTGATGAAAGAACCTTTGGGAACAAATGAAAACTTCTAATCAGACAAGCTAACGTGTGTTTTCAGCAGCCGTACAGCAGATTGATCCTCCTGATGTCCCAGTAGGACATGCCCTGCCTCTGGCCAATCTGGACGTTGCGGTTGGGGATGGGGGTGATGGTTTCCCTGCCATTGATGGAGAAGGCTGTTCTTTCATAGTGCATTATGGAGGAGTAGTCGTAGGGAGTGTTGAGGTTGTTGGTGTCCTGCTTGTCGAAGTTGTAGGCCATCTGCGGGTCGATGTTCTCCCAGTTGATCCTGACGTAGTAGTCGCGGTCGCTCCTGGTCTGCTCGTGCTGGAAGCCCAGAGCGTGGTTGACCTCGTGCTGGACGACGCCAAAGTAGACGCAGCCCTGCCTGTTGAGAGACAGAACCTGCTTCCCTCCCTGTCTGCCCAGAGGAGAGAAGCATCCGTTCTGGCTCTCGATGCTGATGTAGTCGTTCTGGTTCTTACGGTCGACAAAGCGGACACAGGTCTGGCTGTGGAAGGACCGCAAGGCATTTCTGATCAGCTGCCTTTCCCCGCTGCTGTACTCACTGCTGATGGTGAAGGGAACCGTCACCAGGCCGTTGTTGTCTTTCTGCCACAGGCAGCTCTGGTAACTCTGGCATTTAATGGCATTTCTGCTTTTTGGAAGCAGGATGTCTCCTTCCAGCAGGATCTCGTTGCTGCCATTGTTTGCGGTCAGAATCCTGGTGGTGATATCGACGGTGTGGTCTTCCTCCACCTGGCCCTCTCCTCCTCCTCTTTCCTCCATGAGAGGATGAGCCTGAGAGAGGCCGAGCAGGAGCAGGAGCAGCAGGCTGACAGAGGGACTCATCTTCAGAGTGGGTCTGGTAGCTGTGGAGCTTCTTTGCAGAGCTGCTGTGGAGAGACTCCTCGGAGCTTCGTGTCTGACACAGTTGAGTCGCAGGTCTTTATACTCTCCTCTACAGGTGTGTCTGCAGGAGGATTATGGGCTGGGGTCCACATCGCTGGGCCTGAATAAACCTGAGAAGGGAGGACTGCACAGACAAACCTACTCTTTCAACATGCTGTGTTATGTCAGGGCTGTGGACGGATCAACACAGTTACTTTACTGGGTGGGACTTGTTTAACTACACATTCGAAACTTCTACAACTAAAAAGTCCTCAAATTCTCCATTTGCAACCACCTTTATTTTCACTTTTATTTTGGACAGTCAGAAAATGCATATCTAAAAGTAATCTTTTCTCTTTTCTTCATCTGGCTGCTGTGTTTTTCTTCTCATTGACACAGTTAAAATAGTTTGAATTTGCTGTTCATACCATAAATCATCCCTGTAAAGCCTGAACCTTGAAACAATTCCCAGAAAGAAATAGTTTTGAAAATGGAGAGTTTATTGACATTGTCATATATATATGTATATGTAATATATGTTCTATAAAAATGACTTTATGGAACATGTACGCATTAGAATCACACTACAGACAAAGTGTGAAACTGAAATACAACAAAATGTTATGTTGGTCAGACCAACAATCAAATGGCTGAAAGTACAACTCACTAAAGAAACTTGATGATAACTTCACTCGAGGAAGATTAGTCCAGTTCTCATCTATTTATTTTAGTAAGTAATTATGGATTTGGTTCATTACAAAGGTTTAGTTTTTTTCTGTTAAACTTGGCTGAAATGCATCATTATTGTAATAATTTAAACATTTTTCTCTTGTTTTCAGAGAAGCTCAGGTTTACCTTTTTTTTCTTCAGTCGTTGAGTCTTTCTGTTCTTCCCTCCACGATTTGTCTTCATTAGGAATCAGGTGCTCACATTTATGTGTGTCCCAAAGAGAAAGCGTCTTCTGACGTTGCAGTCATTGATGTACATTACAAACTTTCCACGACACCACCATCAGGCCACATTTAGTCCAAATCATGACATTCTTCCGGTACACTATATGGACAAATATATGTCCTACTACAGTACCACAGTTTAATTCATTAACTCTTTCGTCCATATAGCACATCTGGCTCAAATGAGAAGCTTGATGCACATAATTTGACCAGTTATGTTCCCCTAGCATTCGGTTAGCATTTACTGAGAAGTTAGCTAATCCCATTAAAACCATCACCAGTAAACCAACATGGGTAATCTAAACTTGGCTAACAGCAAACTTGACAATGTATTTGTAATATTGGAAAAATTAATAAAGAAAAGAAAAGAAATGCTTTTCTGAGAAGAATTTTTTTTATAAACATACACTTTAGGCTGTATAAAGCATGGCTGAGGATTGCTTATCATCCTGGACTGGCTGCCACTTTGAAACCTCAAGATATCGCTGTCATAAATGTTTTTGTACCCATATTTGAGAAATGCTCCGTTTGAGCTATAATAAGACTTAAATGAGTGAGTTAGCAAAAAAAATCCCTACTTATATTTTTGAATCAAGGTATAAACACTTGGCTTAAATATGTTAATTTCTGAGGTAAAGATTGGCATTTTGAAATGGGGACAGTGGGGAACAGTTTGGACTCGGGTGGAAGACCTGCAGTTTGTGCCACTTTCATTTTTAGCCCCCAGAGTTTTCTGCTTGGTCTGTTCACTAAACATAAAGCTACAGCTAGTAGCTAGCTAGCCCATCATAGCAACTGTAAAACAGTACTTGATCCCATACAAAACAATTTTGTGATTGGTATTCTTTCTTTTTTCTGTAGATTCAACAAAAAACACAGCTAAGCTTGTTGTTTTTGCACTGAGGTAAGCTAACGCTGCACATGGAAGTTTAGCTAATATTTAGCATGTATGGCTTATATGGAAATTTTGGCAACATATCAGAAAATGACAAACACTGAAACAGTTGATGTGAAAAAAGTGTGAATCTTTCTTTTTTAATGTGACAATTGTGTTTTTCCTGAGGAGAAGTTTGTGAAAGGAAAAAAGGATAGCAGAAGGGATTTGTAATTTTTTTTTTATTATGAAACAATAAAACCTTTTAAAGTTAAATTTAGGTCGTTAAAAAGGGAGAAACGTTTTAGCAGTTGTGGTTATTCGACTGAAACTTCTGTATTTACCGTGTTTTCCTCAGCTGACATTTCTGAATGTTTTGGCTCTTTAGGAATCACTTCTTGCCTTTCAGTCTGGTTCCTCTCATATATTAAACTTGCGCCAAAGCTAAACACCACAAAGATGAATATCAAATGCTTTATCTTGTTGACTGTCAGTGTATCCCTGGACTGCTGGCTTCTTGTTTAGAGAAAACAGGGCCATCGGGTGGACTGTCTGCCACATAAGGTGTAATCTAAAAAGTGAGCGGTAGTTTGGGTAAATGCCACCCTGGACGTTAGAGATTGAGATTGGAGTCTCTAAGCAATAAAGACAGACACGGATGCAACTAGGGTTTATTACTTTTAATCAATTCAGCTAGCTACAAAATGTCCACCACTTCACACACTGACAGGATACAGAGAGGGAGTCTTTAGTATTACATGCGTTGAGGACATCAATCTCACAGTTTAACCTATTGTGTCATTCAGGTTTAGGTAATTCATCACCTTACTCTAACTACTTGACATTTTGGCGATTTGGTGTGCATAGCTCTAAAGTACAGAAGCAACAAAAAAACCCATTTGTATGTATTTTTTTGTTTCAGAGTATAGTTGTAATTGTTATTTAATATTGTCATTATTCTTACCAATAACAAACCACACGGGGAGAATAAACTTACATATACGGTTTTCTTATAAAAGTAAGGTCTCTCAGAAATATGCGTCTTTGCTTTACATTGCAAACGTTTATTTTTTTCAGAGCATCCAAAACCTATGATACAGTACACAACCAGTCCTCAGCTTTCATCATATAATCAACATCTTTATCACTGAACTGCATAATCATTTAGAAAACAGGTCATTTTTTTGCAATACAACCCAAAGTCCTCAGTTGTTTCAACTTCATCTCACTTTTTTGATCCCTTTTGCATTATTGTACAACGAGATGGTCACAGTCGGTAAATATATCGAGACAGAAAGAGTGGCACTATTGCAAACTTGCAGGAGTATGGAACGATAAACTGTGTCCTAATACCGAGCATGCGTTTTGTCAATTTGCTACTGCCATGTTATCATTTTTTATATATATTTTTTCAGACAGGTTTTATTTATAAGACTAAAATCTACCATTTGTCATGCAGAGAACGCACAATTCACATCACTTGGAATGCAATGTCTAATACAGCTACAGAGAGTCTAGTTGCACATTGTCTAAACAGTAACTCAGTATGATTGCGATGAAGGAAAATGGACCAAGGACTGCCTTTTGATTGTAAGTGCTCTTTGCCGTCCCGCCCAACTGTACCGCCGCTTAGTGACTCGTGTTTGCCATCGATCTTCTCCTGCTGTTTTTGTGACAACACCAAAATAAGGAGCATGACAGTAGCCTATATGTAATGACACAGTTTTACTAAGACGATACTGAGATACCGAAAAGGAAGAAAAAACAAACAGCTTGTACAGCATTCCTATTATATACTTGTCATCCAGAGAAGTGTACTCGTGTGTGTATATATATGTATATATATATGATATGTGAGATATATATATATATATATATATATATATATATTTGACATAGAGAATAAAAACTTCACAGGTGAGCTAGAGATCCATCAAGTCAGCACTATATACAACCTTTGGAAAGAATGATATACGGAGTATAAGAAATCATCTTTTTACGAGGACAATCATTTTGAAAAAGCTCGACAGACGACACAGAACAACATTTACAATGGGCGGGGAGGTGATATGTGCATGTGTGCAAACCTAGAAGGTCAATACCATGATGAAAGCATGTCAGCGCCTATCGATGCGTGGCGCGGGACGCCGGGACGTTCACGCTCCGGACTCCGGGCGTTTAGCCACTGCCCAGCATCTTTGTGGCGCGCTGGTTGGCCTCATCGATCCTGGTCTTGTTGGAGTCGGCCTGTGAGAGAGGAAGAAGTAATGAGAGGGCTTTGTTGATTGATTCCACAGATCTGTATTTTGGTGTTTTATCTTTAGTACCCGGTTAGATAGATTTCATTGTACTTTTGGTGTGGTAGAGCTTTGAATTTAGAGATGGAGCTTTTTAAAAAGACTCTATTATACAAAGAGACCATTAAATATAGAAATGCTTAAGAAAATAAAAGGTAAGACAACTTTTCTTTGCTGTTTCTACATTTTATCTCTGACCTGATTTTAATGACTGTCATTCCTTTATGTCTTAGACTTAAGAGTTGCACAGTTCTGCGTCAAAGGCATTAAGTTATTTAAGTCTTAAGGTTGGACATTATTTTAAAACTTTCTAACCAATCACCAGCATTTCATCAACTGCAAATTTACGGGCATGTTCACAGCACTCTTGCACATCCGATGTTCTTACTGTTTCAGTTAAACCAAACCAGGAAACAGGGATGTAAGTGAATGTTGGAATATCCATGGAGAAAACCTTGCAGCCTATAAAAGACCCAACCTGGCTGAGCTTTGTGAACCTGAGCTGGTGTCGTATACAAACCAAGCTTTCCAAGCTTTTCCTTCGTGTCCACACTGGTTATATGTTATATTTGCAAGGAGGCAACTCACTAAATAAGCAAGATGACTCAACTCGGCGATTACATGAACCCGGTGCGCTTGAAGAAAAAGCTGAAAAGCTGTGCGTGTACCTTCTCCATGATCCTGTCGATCTGGCGGTTCTGGGTGTCGATCTCGTTGCCCATGTCCAGAGCCATGTGGCGCAGGTTGCCAATGATGCCACCCACCTGCTCCAGGTTCTCATCCATCTCGTTTTCCCGGGCATCGTCTGTTACCCTACCATACAAAAGGTCACATTTATCTCTGCAGTAACTAGTACAGCACACATTGCCACTGCTGTTGTCCATATTT